ATTTTCGAACAAAGATACATAGACGTAGACTACGACCGGCAAGGAGCTCATGTCAGGCTCGCGATATTACATCCCGACTTACTGATGGCCATGTCCATGGCGACCATCAGCAGAGCTTGGTACCGTGCCGTACTCCCCCTGGTCCAGTACAAACCCTTTGTCAACAGCTGGCGCACGGCCAGGGCAGCAATGACTCTTGAAATACAAGCCATGGTACAGTCCTGTGACACACCCCAGCGGTACCTCGCAACTGAGGAGATCATCATCCATATCCAGCATCGCCATCATGTCGAGGTACAGACGATTCTCAACCCCCTCGGCCCCTTCGGGTATGCTGATGCAGCAGGCAGGGACGACGAAGTTCACTGGGCTCATTCTGCCCACAACTACGGCTATCTCCCCTGAGATTGCTCGCGGCCGATGGCTAAAGTCATGTATCTCAAGTTAGGAATATGGCACAGCCTCCTTTCAGGTGTGGCACAGCCACTCGTCTCGCTTTTGCACCAACTGTGTAAGGCTACCCGCCTGCCAGGAGAAAATTTGAAGCACCTGACTGCAAGCCTGCTGGCAAGTTACAGCTGCACTGGCTGCTCCAAATCAGTTTCCTCTTGCATCCTGAGGTCCATGGCGACACGTCACGGCACTTGCATCGCTTACTCGAGTGCCCTCTGCTGTTGTTGCTTGTTTGTTAGACAGGCAGTGAAGCCCCTTGCTTGCCAGCTAGTCATGTGTCATCAGCCATGCTGTATCTGCACACCGCAGCTGTCAGAAGCAACTGCTTGCACCCGTCGGCATAAACTCTTGAATTTCCTCTCTAGGATCACTTCTTCATCAGACATGACAGTTTGCAGAAGGAGTAAGACGTGTTCCTGAACAGAATCGGTAACTTCAGCAGAGAGCACAGCTCACCTTTGGCCGCGTGTCACAGACTCTGGCCCAGCAGCTCTCCAGCTGCGACCATGGATGCCCCTCCTAGTTTGGGGCCGTTTCTGGTGCTTAGCGACAGCACCTTGCAGCACATGCTACGGGGACACACATATGGAGTATTCCCCCTGCTGACGGGACAGGTCTTAAGTTGTCCAGGCGCCGCCCTCAACATCTCGGCAAGCAGTGTCCCCTCCATCATGGAACTACTTCACTGGCAATTTGGGCTCTTTGGGCCGCTCCGTTTCAAAGCAGCGGTCCAGAGTCAGGAGGTGGCCTCCATTTTGGAGCACCACCTCAACGGGCAAATCAACGTACGCTTCATTCCCTTGTCTCGAAGCTTGCGCCCTGAGAAGCAAGTCAATTATGATTACCTGATAGACGGTAGAGTCCAGTACGGTTTTGCGGACAAAAACCTGCATAATCAGGAAATCATGGATTTGGCACTTCTACCTGGAGTAGGTGGCGTGGAGCAACTCTACAACACCAGAAACCTCCATTCTAGACCAGAGGTTGCAGACATCGTTATCCCGGCGCTCGTCACCAGAGCCATCGAGGAAATGCGCAACAGACCAGGCTTGCCCATCCTTGTGATTGCAGGATGGAATGCTCGCCAGCAAGACATGCATGTCGAAATGCTGGCAGCCCAGGCACTGTCCCAGTGCCTGGGCTGTGCGCGACCCTTCTGAAGTGGCCATGCAGTACGGACATGGGCCCTGGGGCATGCGCTTTCTGCATCTCCCGGAGTGGGAGGCAGCTCCTGTCCCGCCGCTTTTATTTCAGACCTACGTTCACGACGAAAAGCCGGAGCCTGCGAAAGTTGCGGCCAAGATGTTCGCGGGTTTTACACGCGAATTTTGTGATGACGGAGTTCTCCGGGCCACCCTGGTGCAACTTGCAGGGAAATGCGGCTCCAATCTGCTGGACCGCCTCAATCAGCCAGCTCATCGGGCTGACGTCTTCCGCTACGTTTACCACTACCAACACGGAGGCCTCTATGTGGATATTAAATGTGGCTTTGTGGTACCTTGGGAGCAGGTACTGCAACTCATGGCAGCAGATTGGAGCACAGCTCACTCAAACAAGGCAGGTGATGTGGGTCACAGACCCTCCCCACCTGGCCAACTCCCACAGGAGTTCATGGTCATGGCCATAGGAGTCAAAGCAGATCATATCTTTCAGGGCATCATCTATGGCAAACCCCGACACCCTCTGATGAGGGAGGCCATACAGCACGCTTTCAGCCGTCAAGTTCTGACGGCAAAGGCCAATCTGGACTATATGACTTTCTGCAAATTTCTCTGGCAGACCTTGGGCCGGGATCTTGGCCATTCCCCTCAACCTGGCTGGAACGTCTCCGCCAAGTTTGGTCCCGTCTACTTGCTGCAGGAGTGCTGGGATAGGCGCGTGAAGAACAAAATCTATGACAACGACGGCCATTTCTTCGTGTCAGCCAATAACACCACGGTCGCCTACACCAGATGCTGGAAATGGCAGCAGGGATTCCAGGGGAGATCCCACCACAAAGGAGCGAACGAATCGCATGCTGCAGAGCCAAGTTCCAGACATTTCTCTGGAAATCCAGGTTGACACTAGGCCCATAGAGCACAGCTCAACTCAGCCGCCTAGGTCACAGACCACGGCTACGGCCACTGAGGCTCCTCCTCCTCCCACACAGGAGGAGATCGAAACGTACGTGGCCGACAGCATCCAGAACAACTCCTTTGCGGAGATTATGGCCACTGTCCGCGACACCCACCACTACAATCAAGATCTCACGGAGCAGGATGTGCTGGAACTTATGCCTCGCGGACAAGGACAAATGGAAGTTTCAGGATCCATGTGGTTATGTTGCCTCCACTGTCGGAAGCATAACCGCCGTGTTCAGTTCAGCACAGGCCATGGCATCAAGAACCACTTTGTCACGCAGAAGCATGACCCTGTGTCACAGCCTGCAGCACAAGGAGCCTGGACAGCCACTGCCCCTGTGCCTCATCCTCCTCCGCCCCCCAAGCCAACAATACCGCAGGAGATCCCTCTCCCTCCCAGCCGCACCCGCACCAAAGGGACAGACAAAGCCGCCGGCTTTGAGCCTCCGCCTACCCCTCCCTGCCCCTTTACTTCCAATGTGGCAGAGAAGGCGGCTTTCAAGGAGAGCCAAGCGAAAGCACCAAACGCGACCCCCACACTCCCGGCAAAGGCCCCACCGGCCTCGGTGTCCATCTCGAACCCCAGCCTCCCGCTAGCTCCTCTTCGCCTGCGGCGCTGGCTCCCCCTCCGGCTATCCCCGCTTCCCCGGCTCCCCCTCATCCCCAAGGCTGCCTCCCTCCGCAAGCACAAGCAGCACGAGCCTCCCAGCGTTCTCTCACGCCTCCCCCTCTCTCCTCCCGCCCCCGTCAGCCTACGAGCCCCCAGAGAAGAATGCTGAACCAGTTGGCTATATTCCACAACCAGCTCCCCAAACGGTTGTCCAACACGAGGCTGGAGCTTGCTCAATTGTTGAGCTCCCAGTCCCACCAGGACTGGATTCGAGCGTTGGCTTCCATCAACATTCTGGTGGCTCCAGTCATTCTAGGAGGTCTCACCAACCAAGAGCAGCAGAACCTCTGGTCCACACGAGTGGAGGCTCTCAGCCAGGTGCCTCCGCTTTTCTCAGCCATCAAGTTGGTCAAGACTCAGTCCGGCCTCACATGGGACACCGCCATGTCTGTGCGGCGAGTCCTTACCAGCGACGGACGAGTCACCATAGCCACAGGCTCTGGAGAAGCCTACCAGGAGCTGGATGCTCCCACAAAGGTGCATTGCCTGATCCATGCCTGTTTCAACAGGTTGTGGGACGAGAAGGAGTTCCAACGGCACTTCCCAACGCGGATTGAGTTCAACATGATCGCTGCTACAATGATGACGGTCTACAACGAAACTGCAAAATCCGCTGGACTCCCAGCTAGGATGTTCAGGGTCAAACCCAATAAAGATGCCTATTCCGTCATGAAGATGCGGATTCAGCATGACAAGGGGATTGAGGAGGACAGGCGCATGGCTAAATTGGCTGCGGCTGCCGCACCCAACAAGCGCCCGCAGGTGCAGGAGGCAGACACAGAGGGCAAACGCCAACGCGATGCCCCTTCATCTTCATCCTCGAGTCAGTGGGCCAGGCCGGCACGCTCCTCTCAGGAAGAAGACTGGGACTGGTGGCAACAGTGGTCCTGGCACGGCTACTATCATTCTTCACAGCAGTGGCCGCATGGTCACAACCAATGAACCTAGAGCAATGTCACAGACTCCCCAAATCCCGTATGGCACAGCCTCAGGGAATTCGATGCTCTTCCGACGCTTCTGCAAATCTCTTCGGAAGCTGCAGTGCAGAGCGATCACCAAGGCAAAATGCAGGACTCTGCACTCCGTCTGAGCTGATCCGATCAGTCAGCTATCACAGTTTGACTCAATCAGCTCTGCAGGTACGCGCATGTGAACTATTCTGGATCTAGTTGCAGAACTATGCGGAAGGACTAGGAAGCAAAACAAAACATGTAAAGTGAGACTCTCGAAAACGCACACCGCCACGGCGTACTATTCTGGAGTCTGGTACGCCCTGGCGGTGTGTATTTACAGCAGAAACAGTACTTTTTCTCGTATTTTAACCAATGTTTTCATCATAGTACTTACATACCGCCACGACGTACCGGACCCGAGTTTAGTCGAACTAGCATGATATAAGCTGACTGCCGGACAACAGTACTCCGAGGCCATGACCTCAGCAAAAACAAAAAACTCAGCGCGAATCTGTGTCAACTGAAACATCGGCGAACTTGCACGTGTAAGTGGACTGATGTCTGTCTTCTCCCTTCGCGCACTCAGTTGGTATCTGAAGCAAGAGCTGTCGTCCGTGAGCAACTAGTTCATCATAACACACAAAGAGACTGTATAAATAACAGCATCAGGTAGTAATGTATGCCTGATTAGCGACCGATTGACAGCAGAAATGATAGATGGTATGCATCCGAGCATGAGACTTGCGTCGGAAGCAGAGAGCTACATGAGGCAAAGCGACAACATGTGTGAGACCACTTATAGGTTCATCCGCGGCGGGAACTTGACGGCTTCGTGCGGCGGGAACTTGACGGCTTCTTCAAAGATGAGGAGCTCTCGACGGAGGATGCCTTGGAGCGGGAACTTGACGGCTTCTTGAAAGATGAGGAGCTCTTGACGGAGGATGGCTTCTTCTTTGACAACGACCCTTTGCGACAACAGTACTTCTTGGTGACAGGCTTCTTCAAGATGTGTGCTTCCAAGCCGATCTGTCTTTTCGTGCTGTAGGGATTCAAGTAGTTGGCAGAACCACTTCGCACAAGGTCGTTATGCTTCTGCACATAGAGGAGAACGTAGAAAAGGTGTGTTGACCTGGACATGGTGTTGAAGGTGCTCGCATAACCTCTGAACCATCGGAACGTCTGCTCTGCGATGGAAGTGTTTACTTCGCGCAGTCTCGTTGCCAAGCGCCTATGGACAAGTGGGGAGCAGACACACTGATCAGAATGTCCATGGGCATGGAACTTGTCTATGCACCAATACTTGACGCCCTTGAGGAGATCAGACTTGGAAGCGGCCTTGACGCAACTGCACATACGATCATATATGACGCAGTCCATGTTCGGAAGCATGTCTGCGACATCATTGAGGACGTCTACCGCAATGGCATTGTTCTCGGGATCAATCATTTCCCGTAGACCGACGATAATGCCAGACTCTGGATGAACGGCCATAAACCAGCCATTATTCCGACATTTCTTGGTGCCGTCGGCTCGTGGACGGCCTCCGTGTTTTGGTGGTGACGATGCACATTTACTGGATACCTTTTCGTGCCCGTTGATCACGACCTCATACATCTTGGCGGCTTCCTGCTTAGAGCAAACATTGCGTCTCCACCACGCTTCGTAGTCCTGCATGAAGTTGTTCTCCAGCGGATCCTCAACGTCAAACGTGTGCATGTGTTGCATGAGGTCGAGTGCGCTATCGGCTTCGTGCATGATCTCCGCCACAGAGAGCACATTGAGGTACAACTGCGCATTATAATAGAATATTCTAATCGCCATCGCGCATGTTCGTTGTTTTCTCCCCACAGAGTATCCTTCTGTGCATAGAGGATGGCATGCATACTCAGCCCACCACGAAACTGAAGAGAACTATGATAGTTCAAGAACTCCTTCGCAAAGCCGGTCTTGGAGTTCACGAAAACCCAATCCATGTCCTTGGGGAGAACGGTGTTCATTTTCCGACCATCAGAGATGCTGTAGTTATAGTGGTGGATGACGCGACAGGGTTTGAATGTACACCGTTTTGTAAGATGACACACAAGTTCAGGACCAGTCAGTGTGTATACTCGGGCGTCAATCGAGCGCTCCGTCTGTAAAGGTGCTCCACATTCTGCACAATGGCGAAGTGGGGTCGTGATTGTCCGCATGCATGCGGTCGGGCTCGACCCAGCAGATGTGGAAAGCAATGCTGGCTTCTTGTGAGGTCCGAAGCCACGTAGATCATAGGCCTCATGACTCGGGTGATTCCATGAGTGCGGCTGCACTTCCATACGGAACCAGGTCATGTTCTGGACAACGGATGCGAGACGGAGGAAGACGTCGAAGTCTGTCACCAAGTGACGCCCATAGGACTCGGAATCGACTATCATGACCCGGGCGTCGCTCATGAAAGAAATACCCCACCAATGACCTCCATGCAGTTGAACTTGATGGCAAAGTCGAATCTGTCCGGAATTTTTCAAGATAGTCAGATCAAGATCGTCATCGAAGATTAGGCGGTAGCCTTCCGAGGTGGTTCTCTGTGAGGCATACATCATATGATCGTTAAACTCCTCGGCCGAGATGGAGCTGTCGTCCTCTGTCACAGCAACAAGGTCAATGTCACAGTCGGGCTGCAAGAAGCCGACGGCATAGTGCAGGCAGGAAGCAGGCTGATGATCTGATCTGGCATCCTGAATGCGCCATAGCGAAGGATTTTCACGGACCAACATGCGCGGCAGCGTAGACAATTCAGAATGAGCTGCTGACCAGTACTTGACGTCCATGGGAATCATCTGCTTCTCGCAGATTTGACAAGCTTCGATGATATCCCATTCCCTAGCCAAGTCATTACATTCTATATAGCAGCCATCGTAGATGAGCACCTGGACCTGGTCTTCCAAATGGGTACAAATGATCTGCAGTAACTTCGCTTCTTCGAAGGAGAGCAAGGCGGAGAGACGACTGAACTCCGGATTGGGACGATCCCCGTAGAGGTCAGTGAACAAGCTTGCTTCCGGTGTCCTAAGCAACGCAACCGCAGCATGTTGAACTTCATCACAAAGCCTGAGAAGGAAGGGCGCCTCAATACCGGGACGACCGCCGTAGAAGATGCGAATAAGCTCAACTTTCGCATCATCAAGCGTGTAGTCACAGTAGCTAGCCAAGCATTTGTGCCATTGGGCGTAGTGGAGCACAAACAAAGCCAGCATAGGGTATTTGTTGTCGTCCCAGAGACCAGCACTTCGTAGCTTGTGAACCAAGAGTCGCGGATGGCAGCAAGGAGCGTCTACCTCCACGCAATGCGAGCTGAACGCGGCATCACGGGCCTCACGCGTCAGCTTCTGACCGGATGGGCCTCTGGAATTCATTCGTCCATAGTGCGGACGCCTGTAGTATTCAACCTCAATGATGGAGTACTCACCCTGGCTGCGTCCGTCGCGACGATGACGTGCGATGTATGCGTTCAACATGTCCTTCCTGCGATCAGTTCCGTCATGAGCATATGCTTCCAAAGCAACAAGGTGAACTTTCTCGTACAGTCTTGCTTCGCTCAACCGACCTAATGCGTTCAGGTCTTCACTGAGGCTCTTGTTGAGGCGAATCACGTGCGCATCATGTTGAAAAGCAGCACCCGTCCACTTTTCCTGTGTGTGTAGGAGATCGAAGGGATTGCACTCCATTGGGCCCATGATCCATAGACTGCACAGCCGCCATGACTCTCCATGGCCAACACCAAACGATCCCAATCAATGAGAAGCTTATGGAAGGTGCCGCGGTCGATCTGTTTGAGTAGGATCACCTCTGCGTGGTCGACGGCTTCGATCAGGTAGGACAACTTCGTGCGCTTGCCTTTGGACGAGGATACAGCCCCAGGCAAAGACTCAATCTTATGAACGAGATATTCCTTCAAGATCCTTCTCCAAGGCGTTTGCGAATGTGCTCTTTTGACGGTGTCATTGTATTCGTTTAGATCATTCACGCCTTCTCCAGGGGGCGGCGCATTCCCTCCGGCCAAGCGTGAGGCCAACCACTTGGTATCATTCAACAAGTCGGCGTGGACCGCGGCTAAGTTGTTGATCATGTTCAAGGACTCCTCCAAGCTTGTCTCCTTGAAAAAGGGTATACAGTACTCACGGAGATACAAGGCAGCCGTAACCTCGTGGGAGAGCAAGGACGCTAGCTCCTCTTGTGGCAATAGCAAGAATACACCCTTGTCAGGATCCACTTCAGTCTCATTGGCAGTGAATCTACCTTTGCCCATGCGCACACATACAACGCGGCGCTCGAGTTGTTGGCAACTTTTGTTGCGATCCCGTGCCTCCTCAATCACTGGAATGTTGTCGTAGTTTAATTCCTGTATTTTCAAACTGTCCCCGAAGCGCCGCTTGGAAGTGAACCCATAATTCACTCTGCAGTCAATGTCTTCGTTGACAACAAATCTCTTCCATATATCCGCATGAAAGTGTGCCTTCTGGTCCATCTCTTGGATTCGGACGTTAGCGGCGTTCCATGCGAGTTCCGCGGATTTGCGAAACTCGCTTCGATCAAGGAAAACGCCGCAGTCTAAGGTGGACGATGCGAGATCACCGAAAAGAGCTCGATCCAAAATCGCTTCCATACCCTTCCCATCTCCTCCGTTTCCAATTTGGAAAATCATCTTCGAAGTGCAGACTCGTCGAAAAGCAGCGTGAAGAAAACACAGCTTGATTTCGAAGGCGTGTTCATTCTCGTAGTAGAGGGACTCCAGGAATGAGCGAAGCCTACGACGACAGTCCTCGACGTCGACGGTGGGATCCTTGAGGACTACCTGCTCGTACAGGAAGTGATAATCCAACTTGAGGTAGCAGTTACGATCCCGTGCTTTCGGTGCGACTTCCCAGTTCTCGTCCAGGAAAACATCGAGGAAGCATACACCCTTGGAGGTAGGCATGGGAGTGTCCCATTCGACAAGGAAAAGCTTGGACAGTGTTTTCGGTACTGAGTCGCTCTCCCATGTCTTGCGGTACTGTGCGAGCATATCTGCCACCCGCCGACTCCACTGAGCATGCCATGTTTTGTTGCTCGTTGCTTTCCGAACGTGGTCGCTGTTTGTTTTGGCGATCCCACACAGTACCTTTGATGCAATCTCAACACCTTGAACAAGACCACGAACAATCTGCACGATGTGCGAGCCCGCGGATGCCCAAGACCAATCCACCTGATGCCCTGCGGCTTCGATGTCGAGTGACAATTTGCTTGGGGGATTGATCTCGACTTGGTTGCTGCTCTCCCCACCAGAGCTGTAATGAATGTAGGTGTGGCTGGCTTGCACTCTCCACAGACTGGACCCTGTCTCTCCCTCTTACTTCCACACGTGCAATCCTATGCAGGCAGAACCGGCGGCCGTTCCTTTTGCACTCACTGCCGGCGGCGGTTCGTCTGTGCAACGGGATAGCTCTGATTGCTCAGGATAGAAGACACATATAGCACTTAGCTATGGGCATTTCTTGAGCCAAACGTTGCGTTGGCGGTCACATAGAAAGGTAAAGATGAGGGATGCGTAGCATGCCCCCTAGAGTCGAGGGACGCGTAGCGTGCCCCCTTCTCTTGCACTTTACACGGTCTTGCTCACAGCTCTTATAGTGACACCTTAGAACTTGACAAGGCATCGCAGTCCGTTCGCACCCACCATGAGTTGCGTCTCCGACGCTGCTCACCCGGAAGATGGCACGATAGGACAACAGAAAATGTTCCGCCGCAACGTTGACATTGAAAATCAGAGCTTTGCATCCCAATTAGAAACGTTGTGACACTCATCTACGTCAGTAACGATCCCCTGAAATGACAAACGAATCAGGCGTCACCGAAGAAAGAAGCATTCGCGATGGTATTCCATGGGCGAAGCTCAGAGGTCACGAACTGATAGGCGAGGAAGACCAAGCGTTGATTCATCTCCATCTTCGCGTGGTCGCAGGATCGCGGTCCCAGGGCCGGAGGTTTTCCTCTGGATACTGTTCACGATGCTTTCCCTTGTCCTTGCCTTTGTTTCGGCCTTTGCCGGCGGTGTAGTCGTAGTAGGAGTTGGAGTTCCAGCCTCCATGTTGCTCACCTCCGGTTCTTCCACGCCCTTTTGAAGGTCCCTTGGATGAAGAAGCGCTTTCACGTTCCTCCGTAGTGACAGGCGTGTCCAGGATGGAAGTACCACCTGGAGGGAGATAGTCAGCAGCCGAAATGTGGTGTAGGGCTTCAGTACGCTTGGTCGTCGGGTTTTGCTGTCTCTCAGCCTTGGATCGATTCAATCTGTCCATGAAATGCGCAGGCATCTGCACACTGTGGTCCACCAGCAAGCCGATGGTCTGGACTGACTGATCAGAATGAGTCAGCAGGATACCGACGGGGTCGATGTACAAGAAGTCCACCGGTCCAGTTGGCGTTGGTCGTAGCACTGAGAATTGTTGGTGTCCCGTCACCATTGGAATCACCTCGCACAGGACGTTCAGGCAACAAAAGTGCATAGCTTTCACATCTTCATCCCTTTCGCTCTTCAAGTAAGTAGTAGGGTTGAAGTTGTCCCTGCCAATTCCCATCATGTTGGCTCCCCGTGTAAGCAACGAAAGCATCTGGTTCGTCCGGAAGCGCTTCAAGGTGTAAGTCCCGTTGGGATCATACTGCTTGAGGATCTCAGGTTCCTTGGCAAAGCGAATGATCTCCTCATCAGTCACATCCTTGCTCACACCCGTTTCCCTATCCACTGCCGCCAAAGATCCCCACTTTCCGAGCACATCATAGCGTTGGCCACGTGCGAAACTTTCCCTCATCTGGAACAACGGCATAGTCGCCCACTTTGCGAATCCTGACCAAGCCTTGTAGATGGATCTGCATACCACGTATGCCATGTACGAAAGAGCGTTCATGTTCGCGTCAATGCAATGGGCATTTCGCTTTCCAGAATAGTAGGATGGCTGCATGGCGGTACGTGCAAGTTGTAGCTCAGGATCGATGTTCAAAGACTGGCCGGTAATGAAGACGGGACGACGTTCCTGTGCAATTGCTTCTGGTACTGCGTCATCAAAGTCCTCTCCTGGCTCTATGTCCATTTCTTCATCAGGTTCCTGTTCTGGATCGTCCTCCGCGATGACAGATGGTTCTGGGATTTCTTCAGGTTCCGCAACGGTCTCTACCTCCATGGCTTCCGGCTCCTCTTCGGGCGCCTCAGGCACTGCGGCTGCTGCGGCTTCCATTGTCTGAGCAATGAAGTCACTGGGGATCTCCGTAGGAGTCTCCCGTTGTGGAGAACCTTGGTAATATCCGCTCGAAATGAATTGTGACCAGCAAGACGTGCATCGGGAGAAACATGCTGGAACGATGTTGTAGCATGCCGGGCATACCCTCATTCTCCGTCCATCCTCGTATCTGCGTAGGTCTTCGGGTCGCCAATTCTTGATGACAAACTTGATTCCTTTGTCCATGTAGTGATGCCGAACCGTGTTCTCCCTGTGGGACTCCAGGACAGTCGTGAGGTCTCGAATGATCTGCTCCTTGCTTGTGTCGTGGGGTCCAGGAGGCATCTCGCAAAGCAATTCCATGATATTGCTTGGCGTTCGGTATCTCTCGAACTCAGGAAGCAACGGTGATGCATTGTAGTCCAACACCAGCTCTTTCTCCAACCGTTCATCGTAGATCTTTTCCACCAGAGCGAAAGAGTGTGTATCTCGAGGATCCGGGACGCAAAACCATACCTCCTTGACGAAATGGAAAGGTATCGTTCGGCCAACGATCATGATGCCGCTGTCTGTGATACGTCCATCTTCTCGTGCAAGGTCCTGCGATGGGACATGAAGGACCGCCAGTGGCATGTGCTTGGCGTCTCGTCCATGTACTCGCATCTTGGTCGTTGCGTTCCGGTGATCGAACGGCGCAAACACCCCCCAATAGCTGTGGAGTCTGCCACCTTGGTTGCCTCGGAATTGGCGCCTATGGTCGAAGTCCCCGTCGGGGTCCTCCGAACCAGGCATGATGCCTTGCGTGACAATGGAATCCAAGTTGCGGCACGCCGTAGCGTGGAACGCACCTCCAAGACGTTGCAAGAGGGTCATAGATGGAGATATTGCGAACCTGTTCTTGTCCAACTGAAGCAAGTTGTTCTGGGGATCTGAGTGCGCAGAGTGACCACTCGTAGCCCGAACTGCCCATGGCTTCACCCAGCCGTTGCACATGTTCAGGTACCTCTGGCCGTGCCGGCAATGATCATTGTTCTGGATCTCCGTGATCTGGTCCTGAACCGATACCAACCTGTTCGAACCTGCTGATCCAAGAGTTTCCGTGCCGGGGTCCTTCACTCTCACACCCAGGAATTGCAACCGAATCTTGGCCTTGTGGCGTTTCGTGGCTGCAATCATGTTCCCTTGGAACAATAGCTGAAGTCTTTCATTGTACACTCTCTTCTTCTGTTGCTCATCGGTCCTTGAGACCGCTTCGGTGATGCGTCTGC